CCAGCAAATCAAAAGAAAACTTGAAAGAAAACAGACATTAAGTACGCCTTGATTCGCCTATGTTGCGGAAGAATTCCTTGATATTTTTCAGCAATACACTATATCCTTTCGTATTGGCACGGTATCTCATTCTAGAGTCGTAGAAAGGTATAACAAAACTGAATTTCATCATGAACCCAGGGGAGGTATCTTTCAAAACGTTGAGAGCACATGATCATCTTTTTTTAATTCTTGTACTCGTTTTGGTACCTGAGTTGGTATATTGGAAAATGTAGTCAATCATAAAGACGTTAGGAATTAAAATTCTATCGATAAATAATTCAGAGATTTTACGGGAATACTAGAAGCATCATCTTTGCTAAATCTAAACTGAGGTTATAATTCTTCTTGTGGGTATTAGATGTGCCATCCAGACACACAAATAATTTGAAAAAAAAACTCCGTAGGACTTATGATACTACGAATATCATTCCATGGTACAGAAAAAGCGTTTTTGTTATTATGCAAATTATTCAAACTGCCAAGAAGTTTCCATATTAGTTTGTTTATTAGATGTATCACACAGTCACTGAAACAGTATTACTGTTTACTGGATGACACAGTTTCGAACACAATTCATTATTGCTGTTAACAATCATTCCATCAATTATAATCACACGACTTCGAAACTTGAGTTTTATAGTTTTCTTTGTCCTCTCCTATTTGTCGTCGTTGGGTAGTAGAATTTTCCAGATATCTGACTGGACAGGTGTTGAATCATTCCTAATAATTTCCTTGATAAATTAGTCAGGAAATATGTAGGGCAATGTAAAAATAAAGTAAAATAAATAATGATGGTAGTGATAATGTTAATAATAATATTAATGATGACATGCAAGTCAAGTGTGCGCAAGACACCACCAACAATAAGGAATGTAATTCATCAGTAGTAATTCCGTACAAGAAAGGAACCTCGGACACCTTACTCAGAATTCTTAACAAGGCAGGAATAAAAGTGGTTGGTTTGAATACCAACGACAAACTCAAATAGAAACAAGCTTTGTCGGTTAAGTATCATTCATGTGGAGCCCTTAAAACAAAACGATTTAGTGAATCTAATACTCTGCCTGCAACGATTGTCAGGTCAAATGCATAAATCAAAGTAGTAGAACAGGGTTCAGTCAGTCAGACTAGCAGAATCTAGATTAGTTGACTCGACACGTAGATAAGAAATCTAGAGAATAGTTCAGCGATAACACTCACCACATGCAACTACACACAACCATACAATGGAGAGGATGGAATTAGATGACAGTTATAAAATCTAATGCAAGTGCAGGGTGGAGGTAGAGATTGATAACAGAAGCTTTGTTTATCGAATCAGCTGAGAGGGAATACATTTGATAGGAATGATTCAACACCTGTCCATTCAGATATCTGCAAAATTCTACTACCCTAGCGACGACAAATAGGAGGGAACAAAGGAAACTATAAAACTCAAGTTTCGAAGTTGTGTCAGTATAACTGATGTAATGATTATGAACAATAATGAATTGTGCTCGAAACTGTGTCATCCAGTTAATAATACTGTTTCTTTGCTGTGTGAAACATGTGATACACAAACTAATATGGAATTGCCTACTACTACGGTTCCCAAGTTTTACACATATGCCGAGAAGATTACTTACATATTTCACTGCTTTGTGATGCATTTACAATAAGCAAGTTTAGTATCTTAGACGACTTGAGTGTAGTCGGCAGAGATGCATCAACTTCTTGTGACTTATGATATCCGATAAAACTATATCGTTCTTCCAGATTACTATTCTTTCTTACCTCATGTATCTGTTTATTATCTCTGTATTGAATCGCCTTTTACTCTCTTCTCTTGCTTTGTGTGCTAAGCGTAGTGTGTGGCAACTCGAACTGCTGCACATTGGTGCAAAGTTCCACACTGAAACCAGCCAGTCAGCTTTAATCACAGAGGCTTTTTGTATACATGGAAAGATGGATAGTATGAACCAAACAGTATAGCCTTAAACCCTCTCCACCGACCAACCTATCATTGATCAAGACGGTACACTATACGTATAATCACCATGACAGTCACACATTCATTAGTTTCATATAAGCGTGAATCTAAATTTAAAAATATTTACAGCAGTTCGAGGTATGGTTTAGGGTTCACAATGAATAATATTTCTGAGTTCCATCATGAACTGACATCAGCTAGATGACCTTTGGAAAACCTGGAAGCACTGAACAGCTGCTTCGTCCTAGTTTGGGATTCTTCAACGGTACTCATCCACTTCAGCAGGGTTCGAACCAGGACCTTGTGGTTATTAGCCATTTAGCCTGATCCAGTGTTCCATGAATTTCAAATTCTGCCGGTTCACAGGTGCATACTGTGAAGAGTCCCAAATTAGCGTGAAACAGCTCTGTCTAGTACTCCAGTTGGTTTTACAATAGTTCTCTAACCGATGCTAGCTCATAATGAAATCCTGAAACCATTGAAATCCGTGTAAGCCAACACTTGAATTAATAATGTCTAAATAGCTTGTGATTGCATAAGGAAGGTAAGTGAATTCTGGTGTAACCAAAAGTGCGTCATATATCTGAATGTATGTCTCATAAATGCAATAAGATAATGTTTCTTTGAATACTGTGATCACTGGTTTATGACTAGAATTATTATTTCCTTAAATTCCTAGAGGAACATAGGGCTTCAGCCGCGCGTCGCCGTTGCGTTTGGTTCTCTGACAACGTTGTCACCAGGTTCCAAATCTGCCCACATGTTTTCACCTCCTCTTCACATGACCTCTTCTATGTCACCCTCGCACTGACCACCAAATCGCCGCTTCCTGGTCGGATTCCACTCGAGCGATGGCCTGGTGTGTGATGTCACTCACCTGGTGGTTTTCTCAGGGTATGGTCAATCCACCTCCATTTCGTCGAGCGTATTTGTCGTACAATCGGTTCCTGGTTGGTTGGTTCTCTCATTGACAGAGATCCCTGTTGCTGATCGTTTTTGGCCACTTGATCTTGAGTAGCATTGAGCGAACACAGCAGTTGATGAAAGTCTGTAGTTTGTTCGATGTGCCTTTCATGATGTGGCCCTCTGATCCGTATAGTGAGTAGCACTGGCTCTACATTGGATGTGAAAATCTGGATCTTATTTTTCATGCTGATTTCTGTTGATCTCCACACAAACTTGAGAGTAATGAAAGCTTCCTTGCTTTCCCTGTCCTTGCTTCGATATTCTCATCAGTTCCGTCCCCCTGTAGTCGAAACGATGCCTACCATAGAGGTACGTAGGTAGGTAAGGGGCGATTCCTTCTTTTAAATTTCCCCCATTTTTGCTAGCTGATTGTTGTCTGTTGTTGTGGTTGTTGTTGATGTTGATCAGGAATCTTCATCACCCACCTCTGTTTCCTCTTTGTTCACCTGAAGTGAAGTACTATCTTTGATGTTCCTTTTGTCGCCAACTTGTCGCTTTTCACTTGCATATATACCATTTTGTTGACAATCGGTAATATGTCATCGGTGAAGTCTAGATCCTCCAAGCTTTTTGTGTGGGTCCATTTTACGCCTGTTTCCTCGCTGCTTACCGCTGTCTGTCGCATTATCCAGTTTACCGAAATCAGGAAAATCATTGGAGATAGTAGGAAGCAAGCCAGCCAGCCTTTTCTTACTCCCGTCTTCACATCGAAGAATTCCGTGAGTTTTACGTTGTGGATTACTTGGGATACAGCATTGTCGTACAGCTGTTGGATGAGATATTTAATTGTTGTCGGCACGCTTTAGTAAAAGCGAAGTAGTTTCCGAATCACCTCTCAATCGACGCTGCGCTATGGAAGGCCTTTTCAGAGTCAATCGTGTTGAGTGAGGTGGAGAGCTGACTGCCATTCCAATCTCTGTTCATTGATGCATAATCCATAGTGTTGCGATTTGATCGATGCATGACTTGTTTCTCCTGAATCCAGCCTGTTTCAGTCGAAGTTTTTCACCCAGGGCTAGAATACAGATAGTCATATAGCTATTTCTGTTCACTCTGACTTTATTCTTTGGAGAATTCGGGGCAAACAGATCAAAGTTGACCACCATCAAGCAGACAGATGCATTGCCAACCTTTCGGGTAAACCACTCACTACTGTCATATTTATGCTTTTCCCTACCCACATCTTCTATTTTACTCGTCTTTAGAGGATTTTAATCATATGAGTCAGTTAGTTACATAGGTCGCACAATTAGGTGTGTTTCTCGTCGAATTTCCAAACATCACTCTGCACCAGTGGTTAAGTAAAGGACACACAAAATCTATTCGTAGCACTATTCTATCTCATCTTGTGGATACAACGGAACACACGATTGATGTCAACCATGCTTTCAGGGTCGTTTACCGCATACCTTTGAATCTCAATTTTGCCTTAAGAGTTTGACTACTAAATATTGCTTAGGCAGACTGTTAGGATCCATATTAACAAGCCTAATTTATTGATATAAGAATAAAACTTGTGCACTGTGGTAGAGTGTAATTCCATCATGGTTAATTTTTTGTTTTGATAATGTTTCACAGTGTTATACAGTAATGTTTACTGATGGCGCCTAATTTATGCGTCCAAAAGAAGTTAGTTCAGACATTATCCTTACCCCTTGGCCATCTCGGTTCGAATGATCCTCAAATTTGGTGGAATTTTTCTAATTTTAGTTGATATTCTATTCGCTATGATATCTTTATTATTATTATCATGATTTAAGCATCTTTAATGAACTGTGGTAATTCCATTATGATCTCACTTTACAAATCGATACTATTTAAAGAACACTAATATTGTTATTGACTACTAATCTAGAATATTCTATGTATGTAAACATACATGGTATAATTGTAAGGCCAGAAGAGGAATTTATCGAAAAGGATATTTTTTGCTGGCTCAATTATTTTGTGTTTTATAAAATAAAATTCTCATTCATTAAAAATGCTGTATTTTGAATTTTAATTCTCTTCACTTATCATGTAGATTACAAACTCAAATTACCCGAAAATTATCGGTGAACGATCTACCAGTGAACATCGTGGACCAGTAAGTATTTTTAACTATTGTTCTACACACATGAAGTCCGTTTACTTTTTTGTTTTGCTAGATCGATTTGAATGCGAACATGTGAAAAATGATATCACATCTCACTGTATTTACCCATTTGAATGTACATGTGGACACACATACATAGGGAGGACTCATAGATCTCTGCAAGTAAGGGTTGGCTTCAGAGCATATTACTAAATGGCTCCAGGAACAAATGGTGAGAATGGGAGACCTAGCTCCTCTATTGCGAAACATATTATAGAGACAGGACATAAAATTGACGTTAACACATCTTTTAAACTTTTATATAAAATGTGTTTGGGGCGTATCTTTAAGTTTGTGGAAACGCGATCAAAGCAACAATTCGTCATCAAATTAAACCTTCTTTGGTGAATTTTGTTTTGATACCATAGCAGGGTAGATGCACTATTACCTCTGCTATTTGGTTTATTATTATTATTATCGTTTCCTTTAATTCCTAGGGGAACATAGGCTTCAGCCAAACGTCTCCATTGAGTTCGGTTCCCTGTTAACGTTTACACCTGGCTCCACGTCTGCCCACATGCTTTCATCTCCTCTTCACATGACCTCATTCAAGTCACCCTCGCAATGACGACCAACTTGCCGCTTCCCATTCAGTCGGGTTCCACTCGAGGCCTTGTCTTGTGATGTCACATGATGGTTTGTTTTCTCAGAGTATGGCCAGCCAATCCACCTCCATTTCTTCCTGCTTATATGTTGCACAATCGGTTCCTGGTTGGTTCACTCATTCCCAGAAATCCCTGTTGCTGATCTTTTTTGGCCAGCCATCTGATCTTGAGTAGTATTGAGCGAAGACAGCTGTTGATGAAGGTCTGTAGTTTATTTGAGGTGCTTCACTGTTATTTTGACCTCCAATATGTCCTTCTTACTTGACCTAAGTTTATTTTCTCACCTCTTAACTCTTTATTAATTTCAAATATATTCCTATGACAAGTCCGTGTGTGATCAGATTGTTCGAAATTTGTAGCGCATAAAATAGCTTTATTCTAAGCAATGGTTTTGTGATGTAAAAATTTTTTCCCTTACCTCGATAAGCCAGAAATAAAGCTGGTCAAGAGGAAATGTTGGACATGAGTCTAGTAACCCCATCCTTTAAAACTAAACACCGCTGCTACAGAAACTTCAAGCCTCTAGCTTGAGGTCGCTTTATGTTCCACTGGGAACGTGAAGCCATACAAAAGAGCAGTATATATTGAAGAAGCTTTTCGGTAGCCCAAGTTTTAGACAAGCCACCTGCTAGTTCACGCATATTAAGTGACTTCCTCAGTTGAAAATCATAGAAATATGACTAAACGACCAGTGGGTGATCAGCAAAATACAAGAGTGTACATTTCAACGTTCAGACTTTTAACTCTCATGGCATATAAAATTGTGGAATAATTTAGAGTAAAATCGCTACATATTTGTGAAATAAACTTGCTAGTGATACTTAACTCTCCCAGCCCTTTTCCAACGTGATATTAAGTGGAATGGGTGTATATATTATTAGCCTATTGGTTTATAGTGAAATTCAGGTCAATTATTTACCCCACTAGAGATATGATACCTGAATGACCATTTCTGTAGTTGCATGGAGAATTTCGTTATGAGCTGACATCGGTTGGAGGACCACTGGAATATATGGGAATACTGAACAGCAACTTCGTCCTAGTTTGGGGCTCTTCAGGAATGCGCAACGGGTTCAAACCCCGCTGGTCTACGAGCTAGCTCGCCTTGTAACCAGAAGGTCATTGGATCGAAGCCTGCCGGGTGGGTGAGTACTGATAAAGAGTCCCAAAGTAGGACGAAGTTGCTCTTCAATACTCCCACATATTCCAGTGGTCCTCCAACTAATGTCAGCTCATGATGAAATCCCACAAACAATCACAAAATCCCTACAAAACCAATACTTGAAATGGTATCGGTTTGAAAAGGAATTAGGGGCAGTGCAAACAATATATGGTGGCATTCTAATTTGAATAAGGGACTTAGAAGGCGAATTTCACGAGATGATATTGTCATTTCGTAGTTTCTCTACAATCGCTTTACAACTAGAAACATGGTTAACAATAATAAAAATAAAATAAAATGCATGACAATTACTCAGTTAAATAAAACAAAACAAAAGTACATACTAATGACCAATCATATTTAAATAGGTCAAGTAGTCAGTGCATGGTAGGCGAAGGTCGGAGTCTATTGTGTTCTTTGTACATACAGTTGAGGCTGCATGTGATTAATCCAAAGTGCTTCCATCACCTTCAATAACCAACCCGGAATTAGAGTTATGTGGTGAAATAATTATGAGAGTCATTAATATTGATTTTGTGACCTGTCATTAATAAGTGCTTTGCAATGGATGATGATGATGGATTTCTGTTCAGATTAATAATTCCAATGGGATTTTCTATATGTTTTAACAATCATTTTGGAAGATTTTCTTTTCTACCATGACATTGGAGGATTCTATTGGTTCTACAATATAGGTGTGACCACAACAGCAGGTGAACTTGTAGATACACTTTGAAGTAGAGTCTGCAGAATTTCGTCCTTTAATCGTAGATACAGAGATTTTAAATGTTCGAGATGTGAGGGAAAGCGATGTGGCATAGAATATGCCTTTGATGGCTGGCCGAAGTCTGTTAGCTGTCAAAAAGATGAAGAACAATTTTATTCCTCACGTTAGCATGCGTCATGTCAAGAATTTTCGAATTTTGATTGTGATTATAAAAAAGGCATTTGGTCATATTCTTTATCCTTACAAAAGGGGATCTCGATATTTGTGGATTAATGCACAGGTCAAGAATTAGTGTCACTGTGTTTATTTTGTATAAGTTTAGATTTTTAGGATAAAAATTCATGATAGAACTAAGAGTTTAGATGGCGTGTTATAAATAAAGCATATGTGTAATTGCTTTGTTAATATAGAAGATAGTGTAATGGTTATTTTTAATTGTTAGTAGGTCTGTTGAACCCCCAAAAGCCAGTACATGTACGTTATTCTGTAATTGTCATCTCTCATAGGGTTAATTGTTATGTATCTTTGTCAAATCTCTACTGAAATTACAACTTACTTGTCATTAATGTGATTATAGAGCTTGGGCACTGTGGTAGAATGTAATTACATGTTAGACAGTTGAAGGCAGTCGGCAGAAAGACTTGGCTACACCGGGGTTTTGTGCTACATGGCACTCACCAGTCAGCAAGGAGTATCTAAAATCTTGAAGGAACCCATGTCCCTTCTGAGATTCGAACCCTCATCACTAGCCAGTGCTGCAGTTAGAGAAGTTACCATTGAGCTCTTCAGTCTGACTCGCGATTGACCCCTGTAGTACTGTAGTGGGTGTTTTCATTGGACACTAATAACTAGTTTGAAGTGTCTAGTCCTTTCTTTGGTGCAGACTGAATTCTATATTCCATAATAGATAAGTTTATTTTTAAAAATTACACAGCAATGCCGCATTAACAACTGGATAACTTTTGAAGCAAAAATTATTGCTGCTCATAATCATGTCAGTTTTAGTCACACAGTTCCACAATTTATCTTATATTTCTTTTTTCTCTCTCTTATTTTGCATTTTTTTTCCATTCACGTTCCCCAGTGGAACATAGGGCTTCAAGCTAGTGGCTTGAAGTTTTTGTAGCAGTGTTTATTTTCACAGGATGGGGTTTCTAGCTCCATTCCCGACCGTTCCTCTTTACTAGCATTATTTCTGGCTTAGCGAGGTAAAGGAGTTCATAGGCTGGGGATCGAACCCTGGACCATGTGCATGGTCGACGAGTGTCCTAACCTCTGTGCCACCGACGCACCTCTCTCTCTAACTTTCCTTTATTGTTTCTGCTACTTTGCATATCTCCGGTATAGACGTTGCGTCATTCCGACTGCACGTGCACGGTATTGAATCGATGAACAAAGCTTCCGTGATTAACCCCTCTCTCTCTCTCTCTCCGCATAACCAGGTACCGACTGTGCAACAAATATGCCATACTCTGAGCAAGCCATCAACTGGCATTACACGTTAAGGTATGGCTCGAGTAGAGCCCAAATGGGAAACGGCAAGTTGGTCGTCATTGAGAGGGTAGGGTGACATGGAAGGAGTCATGTGAAGAGGCGATGAAAGCATGTGGGCAGACGGGGAGCCAGGTGAAAACTCTAGCAGAGAACCGAATGCAATAGAGACGTTTGGCTGAATCTCTATGTTCCTCTAAGAACTAAAGGAAACAATAATAATAACAATATGATCCACTAAACTGTATTACTTTTTAATGCTCTCACGCTGTGCAACTGTAAGTTTTGATTACATGGCTGAGATTGTTTCTAGGTTATTTAGCTTAATAGGGTCAATCATTCCAGGTCTAGCTAAATTTTTATATTCCAATAATCTAGTTGACCCCGATCCACTAGTTTGACACATGTAATTGACCTTATTAACAGTTATTACATGGTATTTGGTAAATTATATTACTTTTTTTATTTGAATGTATTGCGTCCTTGAGGCGACAAAGTTTATCTCTGAGATTTAGTTGGTTCGTTTAAATCCCACCCTACTTCCAGCCTCATTGAGAATCCTATTAACGGCTTATGACGTTCCTGCTTTATACTGCTGTATTAAAAAGTAATAAAGTTAGGCGGAGAGAGGTTAATCACTGAAGCTGTGTTTATCGATTGAAAAGTGCACACATTCACTCAGTGCAATCATCGAAACCCACGCTGATTTGGACGGATGTTCCATCCGAGTATAGAACTTTGTGGCAGTGAGCACCCATGACCTGACCAATAATCCAACCCAAGTGGCTGAGTGATCTGTGAGATTTGTCTCCCTGTCAGAAGATCTCAGGTTAAACTCCTAATGAGATCTTACCTGTTCACTGCTGGAGAGTCCCAAACTACGGAGAAACAGCTGTCCAATTCACCATAGTTTTCATCGATTCTCTAATCGATATTAGTTCGTGACGAAACCGGCATATTGAAACAAATCCAAATCTCCACAGAAACCCGTAATATGAATAATAATAACCTACCTAAAGTATATACGAATCATTTTAATAATTAAGCATAACTTGATTCCCTTGTAATCGAAATAGGACTAGTGACGTTTGTAAAGATGTGTATTATTATTTCACTGAGATTTTTTTCTGCAACAGCTTTGTGGACACTGTGATTTCGAGCTAAATCTATGGAATTTGGTACACGTGTTAGCATGCTTCTAAAAAGATACTTTATACATTAAAACGGTTAGTCCCTTTGATAAATTTGAATAAGGCTTTTAGAAGACAGATTTCGCGAGATGATATCGTCATTTCGTAGTTTCTTTACGACAGCTGGATAGACAAATGCAAGTTATGCTTAGAGAATTTATGCTATATAAACGTTATGTAGATGATACACTCAATATTGGTAATAATCGTAAATCTATTGAAAACTTTATTACCCTATTTAATCATATTCATCCAAATATCCGAGTGTATTCCGAACTCGAATGGAATAACAAACTCGGTTTCCTGGATATAACAATGACCAGGAGAGATGATAGAACGATTCAGAGATCTATTTTTTGTAAACAGACATGGAGTGTGGACAATATCTTCATTTTACCAGTTTTTTTCCTATCCAGTATAAACGTTCCCTAGTGATGTATTTGTTCTCAAGAGCCTGAAAAATATGCACGAGTGACACATTGACAGATGAGTTTCGACACACACACATTCATTTTATAAGCTAGTGGTTAACCAGAAACCTTACTTAATCATTTGTCACAGTAAAGAAAGACCACATCTCGAAAAGACAGCTTCTGTACCAAAGAAAGCCATCTTTATTAACCTACTATCCAATGGGGACCATATTATGCAGTTGACAGCTGAAGGACTTCGGTCAGCCACCAAACGTATATTCTACGCCACATCACTTTCCCCCACGCCTCGAACATTTAAAATCTCTGCATCTACGATTAAAGGACGAAATTCTGCGGACTCTACTTCAAAGTGTATCTACAAGTTCACCTGCAGTTGTGGTCACACCTATATATGTAGAACCAATAGAATCTTCCAATGTCATGGTCGAAAAGAAAATCTTCCCAAATGATTGTTAAAACATATAGAAAATCCCATTGGAATTACTAATCTGAACAGAAATCCATCATCATCATCCATTGCAAAGCACTTATTAATGTCAGGTCACGAAATCAATATTAATTAATGACTGTTATAAAATTATCACATCACATAATTCTAATTCCGGGTTGGTTATTGAAGGTGATGGAAGCACTTTGGATTAATCATGTACAGTCCAAACTGTGTGTACAAAAACACAATGGACTTCAATCTTCGCCTACCATGGACTGACTACTTGACCCATTGAAATATGATTGGTCATTAGTATGTACTTTTGTTTTTTATTTAACTAAATAATTGTCATGATCTTTTTTTTATTTTGTTATTGTTAACCATGTTTCTAGTTGTAAAGCGATTGTAGAGAAACTACGAAATGACAATATCATCTCGTGAACTTTGACTTCTAAATGCCTTACTTTATACATGCAAGTTTCATAGCTAACAATGCGGTCTAAAAATGGTTTCTGTTCTTCTAAATGTTGGAAAGCAAATTTAAAATTACAATTGATTTTCCGCGTATTTGGCTATCGTTAACAAGAAATCCTTTTTATACACCAACAAATACATTTTTTAAAAATTTATCTTGAATATTTCTTCTCATGTTATTTTTTTACCTTTGATTTTTCAGAGCATTATGGCTAAACCTATAAGACCTTTACCATTTGCTTCACCTTGTCGAGCTGCTTCAGCAGAGAATAGACGTATGCCAGTGCCATGGGGTTTAAATAACAGTCCGCATGTGTAAGTTGGTTCTGTAACAGTGCGTTAGTGCTAACATTCTCTTCTTTTTTGTATGGATGTGTAAGACTATGTTTGTGGTACTAAAAAAGTAATTAAAAAAAACTGTTTACAGGATTTCATTACGAGCTGACATTGGTTAGAGAACCATTGGATAACCAGCAAGGAGTACTGGACAGGTGTTTTGTCAGACTAGTTTGGGGCTCTTCAGTAGTACGCACCCACCACCGGGATTCGAACCCCAAACTGTATTTCAATCACCAGATTTTATTAGCCTTTCAATATATTGATTAACACTTCAGAATGGTTTCAGTGACACTGTATATTCAGAAGAGACTGTGATACTAATCCATGTTACTTTTAACACAGTAAGCGTACTGTGTCATTTAAACTTCTGCCTATTATCTCCAGTACTGGACGACAAAGAAATGCAGGAACACTGAAGATAATTCCAAGATTGAAATGTAAAGCTGTGACGTTAAGAATCTTGACTGTGCAAGCAACAAAACTGTATTAATACCTAGAAGCAAGCCACCAATAATCATCTCTTGTATAACTCGAAACACTGATGCGGTAATATCCACTAACCGGATGTTCTAATATCATTTTTATTGTCTCAGCAACCAACTGGTTAATTCAACTCAAAAGTGTCCTGGTTACCCTAGGTTTCGCGCTAGTTGGCACTCACCAGTCTGCAAGGTGTATCTACAACCGTGAAGGAATTCATGTCCCTTCTGAGATTCTAACCCATGCCACTAGCCAGTGCTACAGTCAGAGATGTTACCAATGAGCTATTCAGGCTGGTTCGGGTTTGACCTCCTTTAGGACTATAGTGGATACTTTGATATCTAATATATCATCAAATCAATGTGCAGTGTGATGGCGAGCCACCTAGTGGCATGATGGCCACATTGCAAACCTGACTTACTGATAGAATTCAGTCTGCACCAAACACAAAGGACTAGACACATCACACTAGTTACTGACTGGTGTCCAATCAAAGTAGTCTTCAACTGGACTTTATTTAGCTGGTATTTTGTTTCACTACCACGTAAATTTGGATCGATAAAATAAGCTAGGTCATTCATATACGTCTAACCCTACGAATTAGAAAACATTGGAAACAATTACCAGACTACGCACACAAACACACATTTCTCTCAGTAATTAAAGTGATAGAGTACTTTACAGAACTATATTATGAACCAAAATATCTCCTAGTCTGAGGTAACCTAATTAGAAATACCAATATTCATTAACCAAAATGTTTGTTAATTATTATTAATATTTCCTTTAGTTCCTAGAGGTGGCACAGTGGTTAGGACTCTCGCCGACCATGCATATGGTCCGGGGTTCGAGCCCACGCCGGCGCACACCTGATATCTATGGTCGGCCTGCAAAATTTGGGCTACAGATATCCATGCTGAAAATTCCATACTTGTACCAAAAATACGGTGTGGAATCAAGCTGTAATTCAAAAAAAAAATCAAAAAAAAAAATAGGGCTTCAGCCAAACTTCTCCGTTGCGTTAGGTTCTCTGCCAACGTTTTCACCTGGCTCCATATCTGCTCACATGCTTTCATCTCATCTTTTCATCACCTCCACCTCCACGTCACCCTAACCTCGTACTGACGACCGACTCGCCACTTCCCATTCGTGTTTCACTCGAGTGATGACCTAGCGTGTGATGTCACTTGATGGTTTGTTTTCTTAGAGTATGACCAGCCAATCCACTTCCATTTCTTCCGGCATATTTGTTGCACAGTCGGTTTCTGGTTCGTTGGTTCACTCATTGCCAGAGATCCCTGTTGTTGATCTTTTCTGGCCGGCCCTCTGATCTTGAGCAAAGTATTGAGAAAAAGCAGCTGCTGATGAAGGTCTGTAGTCTGTTTGAAGTGCTTTCCATGACGCGCCAAGTCTGTGATCCGTACACTGAGTAGCTCTAACTTCACATTGGAGTAGAAAACACAGAAATTGTTTATCATGCTGAGTGCCGTTGATTGCCTCCTCACCGACTTGAGAGTAATGAAAGCTTGTCTTGCTTTCTCTATCCTGGCTTTCATGTCCTCATCAGTTCCGCCCGCCTGTAGTTGAAACGACGCCTACTATGTAGGTACGTAGGTAGTTCAAGGAGATTGCTACTTTCAGACTCCTCCAATTTAGGCTGGCTGATTGTTGCCTGTTGTTGTTGCTGTCGCTGTTGATGTTGACCGAGAATCTGAATCACCCACCTCTGTTTCCTCTTTGTCCACCTGAAGCCATATCTTCCTGGATGCTTCTTCTTCCAACTTGTTGCTTTTCATTTGCATATCTTCCAGTTTGTGCAAAATCAGACATATGTGTGTCACTGGCGAAGTTGAGATCCTCCAAGTTTTCTGTGTGGGTCCATTTTGTGCCCGTTTCCTCGCTGCTCGCTCTCTGTCTGTCACATTATCCAGTCTACCGAAATCAGGAAAGTCATTGGAGACATTAAGCAGCCAGCTAGCCACGTTGTCTTACTCCTGTCTTCATTTTGAAGGATTCCGTCAGTTTCCCGTTGTGGATTACTTGTCATGCAGCATTTTCGTACAACTGTTGGATGAGATATATAATTGTTGTGGGCAAGCTATGTTAGTAGCCAAGTAGTTTTCAAATCGCCTCTCGATCGGCGCTGTGCTATCAAAGGCCTTTTCAGAGTCAATGAGGTGGAGTGAGGTGGAGAGCTGACTGCCATTCCAAGCTCTGTTCATTGATGCATAATCCGTAGTGTAGTGATTTGATCGATGCATGACTTGTTCGTAAATAGTTTTCGTTTCCAGTGATGTTATGCACTCTGATCTTAAGTGATGCAGACAGAGAACCTTTTCATTGATTACTAGTTAGGATGTTAGTAGCGCCATCTGCCTAATTTTCACTTTACTGACTCTAACTCAACAATGAAATGTGGTCACTGATCTAGAAGATTCACGACCACATTATTATTATTGTTTCCTTTAATTCCTAGAGGAACATAGGGCTTCAGCCGCGAGTTTCCATTGCGTTCAGTTCTCTTCTAAAGATTTCATCTGGCTCCACGTCTACCTACATGCTTTCATCTCCTCTTCATATGACCTTTACTAAGTCACTCTTGGACGACCAACTCGCCGCCTTCCATTCGGCAGGGTTCCATTCGAGGGCTTGTCTAGTGATGTCACTTTAAGGTTTGTTTTCTCAGAGTATCGCCAATTCACCTCCATTGCTTCCTGCATATTTGTTGGACAACCGGTTCCTGCTGTGTTGGTTCACTCACTCTCAGAGATCCCTGTTGTTGATCTTTTCTGGCCGGCCATATTATCTTGAGAGAAGTATTGAGCGAAGACATCTGTTGATGAAGGTCTGTAGTTTGTTTGAGGTGCTTTCTATGACGCATCAAGTCTCTGATGCGTATAGCATGTAGCACTGACAATTGAAAACAATATTATCTACTTATTATATGTGTTGTTCTAAATTAATTTTAGCGTTAGCACTAAGGACAGACGATTTTGTCTTGACATTGATGCGAATAACATGTCGCAGTTACAAGCAAAGACACTAGATTAGTACGTCTTCTGCTTAGTTAAACGTAAAAAGTGTTTTGTCTAAGCAGAATACCAGCCAGATAGTATGAGAATTCCACGCGAGACAATGAGTTTCACTGTACATTGGGTGAATATTACGACCCAAGATAGCTACTTAGCTACTGATCCGTTTAGTAGCACTGACTTCACATTGGAGTTGAAAATCCGGATCTCCACACACACTTAAGAGTAATGAAAGCTTGTCTTGCTTTTCCGATTCTTGCTTTGATATCCTCGTCAGTTTCTCGTGTAGTTGAAACGATGCTTATCACCACATAACACCTTGAATTATTATTAGATTGTTGGAATGCTTTAACCTGAATTTCATGCTTATGCACAGTCATTGTCGAGGCGTATTCGCAACTCTCGCAGGAATAGGTGCCTTCTTGAAAATCCTGACTTTCACCACATAGAATTGCAGTCAAAGGTGTTTTCTACTGACCTGTTCAGAGGACAAATAGCTTCGATTATTCTGAGAAGTGACACCAAACACGAAATCAGCCCACAAGGGCTTCTCAATGATCACAAATGAAATGGTAAGCTTATTACATACCTAGTATAGGGTTATCTTTTGCGCCCGATAGACTATATATATATATATATAATATTACAATATTATTACAATACACAACAATTTACCAATCAAGTGACAATATGTTCGTTAAAACTTAAATTTTGCATTGTTTTGCATTGAAATAGCTTGAATAATTTATCAAAACGTAAAAATCATCTAAGATCCAGTCCTACAAGTTTATCTTCATCATCAGCTCTGTCGATCGATGAACAATCTGGCAGTGTATATAATTTAAAATCTTTTGAAAAATTTGCTCACATGGGTCAGCCACACGTAGTCGCTTTGTATAATTTTGAAACTGGAGTAGAAGGTGATTTAGAGTTTGAGGTAAGTTCAAAATGGGACTAATATCTACTTATTTTTATAGAACTATTTTTTGTCTCTAATGTTACTGTGTGTAAATATATATATACATATATATATTCACCGGTGTATTAATTTTATATTTTATTTTGGTTATAACTTGAAATCATACAGTATTTTTGGTACAGTTATGACATTTTCAGTATGCGATATCCGTAGCCCAAATTTTGCAGACCGACCATTGGTATCAGATGTGCGTCGGCAGGGGATCGAACCTCGGACCATGTGCATGGTCGGCGAGAGTCCTAACCGCTGTGTCACCAACGCACTGGAGATTATTTTTTTTTTGTTGTTGTTGTTAGCTTGCATACAAGACTATATAAAACACTAATCAATTACATCCTCATCTCTGGCTGTACTGTAATAGATGTTTACAGCATATTTATTACAATACACAACAATTCCCCAATCAAGTGGCACTGATATGTTTGTTAACAATAATTAGTCAGTGTCAACATGTCAAGACGCTGGTGATAATTAATGAAGAAAATTAATACACACAATTAAAAGGTAGAAGTGGTTACAACACGTGGATTGCATAATGCATAATTTTGAAAAGGTGAAGAGTAATTAAGGCATAAACCTGTGCACAGGTAGATTACGTAACAGATTGTTAAAGAAAATAAAACGATTCGTACAATGCTAACTTGTAACTAAGTCTGAAGTGGTCATAACAATAAAATGATTTTACAAAGATAACACGTAATTAAGGATGAAGTAGTCAGAAAAATAGTAAAATAAATTTGGACACTAATAATTTTTACGAGTTGATCACGGATTGATATCAGTTAGAGAACCATTGAAAACCAAGGAATACTGGACAGCTGCTGTTCCATCCTAGTTTGGGAATCCTCGACAGTATGCACCCGCCACCAGGGTTCGAACTCAGGACCTTCTGGTTAGAAGACAAGCTCGTATAGCATTCAGCCACTGGGACCTAATTCAATGGCCAATGTATGAATTCTAACTTCTATCATTTCATGATTTAGCGCGAGCCCAAACAATATCGTGTGTGGGACATCCATTCTCACACGTGACATCTGGATGGACGTCACTGGTCACGACTTCTCACCAGAAGTCGAGGAAACTCCATCCTGTAGCAAGTCACTAGCGAGCATCAGATTAATTTTCTATAGTTTAGTTTGTAAGGGTGGATGAGGATGGATGTCCCACCGACAACATTGGTTGGGATCGCGCCAAATCACGAATTGGTAGAAGTTAGAATTCATGCACCGGCCATTGTATTAGGTCTCAGTGGCTGAATGCTATACGAGCTTGTCTTATAACCAGAAGGTCCTGAGTCCGAAACCTGGTGGTGGGTGCGTACTGTCGAGGCTTCCCAAACTAGGATGAAACAGCAGCTGTCCAGTACTCCTTGGTTTTCAATGTTTCTCTAATTGATATCAATCCGTGATCAACTCGTAAAAGCATAACAAACCCTTACAAACCAAACTATAGAAAACTAATAATTTTTATAATTTTTGAAGGTTTAGTGGAATGGGGGCGAATTATTCCGGTTTATACATCAATGTAACGATGGCTAAGGTAAGGAAAGTGGCTGTACAAATTTCTTCTGAACACACAAGTTTAGCGTCTTCAGGCGGATTCCTACTGCTTCAGCTGTATGCAGAAGACGAACTCGTAGAACAAAATTAAGATTAATAGGAATGCGATAAATAATTTTAAATATAGTATTTTGATGTGGTTGTGTTCTCTGAGCTGGATTGTTGATTTGCGAAGCTTTCATCACCCTACTGGGTGACATCTTCAGCGCATACTTCAATTCATTGAAGTGAGCTTTTAGATTTCCCAACGAGTTGATTAATCATCTTTCCTGATGACTTTGGATGTGATTGGTTGTTTTTTTTGTGTTTTCACACCTTCTAGGTCACTTGTATTGGAACTGATTGTTTCCTTGACTTGAATTCTCACCCTTTATGTGTGAAGTTTCTTTCTTATCGGTCGATAAATTTTGTCTATTTCTATGTGTCTATTGATTGATGATTCACTGGAATGCCAAGCTTCTAAAAATTCTCTAGCATTCTTGTTGTTTCCTCTGTCCAGTAGTTGAACGTTGTCCCAGTCTAATTGATGTCCGTAGTTTTCTCTATGTGCTGATATGAGAAATGAAGTGGATATCATGTCTTTTGATGGCTAGTTTATGATCGTGGATACGAAGACGAAGAGGACGTCCACTTTGGCCGATGTAGTGTTTTTCGCAGTTGTTACAGTTTATTTTGTAGATGATGTTGGTTTTGTCTTCTTTCGCTGTTGAGTCTTTTGGTTGACATAGAATTGAGTGCAGCGACTTTGTTGGTTTGTGTACGACGTCAATTCCTAAAGGTTTGAAGAGTCTTGTAGTGATTTCTGAGACATCCTTTTTATATGGTAAGGCGATTTTCTCTGTGCTTTTCTTGGAAATAATCAGTCCCCATACAAGTAACCTAGAAGGTGTGAAAACACACAAAAACAACCAATCGCATCCAAGGTCACCAGGAGAGATGATTAATCAACTCGTTGGGAAATCTGAAAGCTCACTTCAATGAATTGAAGTATGCGCTGAAGATGTCACCCAGTAGGGTGATGAAAGCTTCGCAAATCAACAATCCAGCTCAGAGAACACAACCACATTAAAATAATCCACCTGAGCTACAAATCTTCTCTATCATATCTAAATGCAGTATTAATGTTCACCTTATACTCACTATCTACAAAGTGTGCTAAAAAAGATCTAGCTACGAATATATATTGTTTGTCCTCCCTTGCTTAACCATGCTGGATGATGTTCGGAAATACGATGATGAACCTGCTTAATTTTACACCCAGTGTATCTGGCTCCTCAGCTGCAGTAAAACTGGTAGATACACATAGAAGCGGCAAATTTATGTAGTTTTTCCTTATTTCTCGAACGTAAAATAGGGTTGGTTGTGAAGAGACAACGTACCTCTGTTGCATAATAAGCTCTTTTATCTGCATTCTTCAGTCGTTGTGTTATTATTTCGCTGATGTGGTCACATAGGAACTGCAGTTTTAATGAACATTGGTTTTTTCGGAACTGACTCTCCTAGGTGCTGAATTCATATTTTTCTTAATGGACTTATCTGGATATCCATTTTTTCTAAGTAATTCTCTAATAATTTTAACCTCCTCATTGTCGGAGTCATTTGAGCAGATTATCCTAGCTCCATGCACCAGATACTTTACTAAGTTACTTTTATATTTCAAAGGTACAAAACTCAAAAAGTGGGTGTACTGATCTGTTGTTGTAGGTTTCCTATACACACTCCTTCTTAGTGTGCCATCTTCTTTGTTTGCCGTGAAGACGTCTAGGAATGAGATACTGTCATTACTTTCTTTCTATGTGGTAAAGTTTATTGCTGAACGAGCAGCATTAAACTTGTTGAGGATGTTCACTATTTAACTCTCGTTTTGCATAGCTAGAAATGCATCACCAATGTATGTATAGTAGAATTCCGACTCATTAATTACTCCTTTCAGTAGTCCATTCTCTAACTTTGTGAGGAAAAAAACAGCCAGTATTGGGCTGTTTTAACATTATTATGCATATAAAAGATGCTAGTGACTCAATATTTCTTTAATGTAGATACCTGGATGACTTTTAGGACAAAATTTGTCGCCTATAATCATATCAGTTTCGAAAGTGATATGAGACGACGACGAGAACAGAAGTCCTGAATGCAATCAAGATGCTAAAAAGCTGAAAAGCAGCAGCGCCAGATGCAATCCTAGCAGAAGCATTAAAAATGACCCAGAAACAACAACGGATTTGATGACACCATCACTGTTGGAAAAGGTATGGGAAGAGGGTAAAGTACCCGAGGATTGTAAGAAAGGATACTTATTCAAACTACCAAAGAAAGGAGACTTAAGTCAATGCAAGAAGTGGCGTAGAATTATGGTCCTGTCCATCGCAAGCAAAATACTAAGCCGCATCATCCTGGAGAGAATCAAACCAGTCCTGAATGAAAAACTTCGACCGGAACAGGCTAGATTCAGGAGAAACAAGTCATATATCGATCAAATCGCTACACTACAGATTATCAGTGAACACAGCCTAGAATGCCAGTCAGCTCTCCACCTCACTCAAATTCATCGAATTTGAAAAGGCCTTCGGTAGCACAGTGGTGATCGAGAGGTGATTTGGAAACTACTTCATTACCATCAAGGGTTGAGACAAACAACTCTATATCTCATCCAACAGTTGTACGACAATGCTGCATGACAAGTAATCCACAACGGGAAACTGACGGAATCGTTCGAAGCGAAGATAGGAGTAAGACAAGCTGGCTGGCTTGCTTCCTACAATCTCCAGTGACTTTCCTGATTTTGGTAGACTGGATAATGCGACAGACAGAGAGTAGGCAGCGAGGAAACAGGCATAAAATGGACCCTCAAGAAAAACCTGGCGGATCTGGACTTCTTGGATGACGTATACATGTCGGACTTTCCACAAACTGGAAGATATGCAAGTGAAGTGCAACAAGTTGGAAGAAGAAGCATCCAGAGAAAAGGGGACTTCAGGTGAACATAGAGGAAATAGCGGTGGGTGATTCAGATTCCTGGCCAACATCAACAGCGACAGCAACAACAACAGACAACAAACAGCGAGCATAAATGGGAGAAATCTGAAAAAAGTAATCTCCTTCAACTACCCACCTACCTGGGAAGTATCATTTCAATCACAGGCGGAAGGAACTAAAGTGGATATCAAGACAAGGATCGAGAAAGCAAGACAAACCTTCATTACTCTCAAGTCTGTGTGGAGGCCAACCCTCAGCACTTAGTATGAAAATGAAAATGAGATCCGGAATTTCAACTCCAATGTGTAATCAGTGCTATTCACTGTTCGAATCAGAAACTTGGTGCGTCATAAAGAACACCTCAAACAAACTACTGATCTTTCATCAGCAGCTGTCTTCGCTCAATACTTCGCTCAGGATCAGATGGCCGGCCAGAAAAGATCAGCAACAGGTATCTCTGCCAATGAGTGAGCCAACCCAGATGGAACCGATTGTGCAACAAATATGCAGGAAGAAATGGAGGTGGATTGGCTGGCCATACTCTGAGGAAACAAACCATCAAGTGACATCAGTAGATAAGCCATCGCTCAATGAGTTGGTCGTCGAAGGGTTACATGGAGGAGGTCATGTGAAGAGTAGATGAAAGCATTTGGGCAAACTTAAAACCAAGTGAAAACTCTAGCAGAGAACCGAAGGCAATGGAGACGTTTGGCTGAAGCCTTATGTTCCTCTAGGAATTAAAGGAAATAATAATAAATCATATCAGTTTAGTCACATGGCCTTTTAGGTTACTTTATAGATTCATATCTGCTTCTTTTTCAGTAGGAGACATTCTCATTTGTTGGGAATTCGAGTTATGTCGTCTTAAGTCAAAACTACTGACTACAATGAACTAGCTAGTTCATTTTTTCTCGATCTAGAGATTTTAGTGGGGGATTCAACAAACATGCATTAAAACTTGGATAGTGTCTGAGTACCGTTACACGGGCGTACATTTGCTTTATTTTATTTATTTTACCGGCAATGTTTCTTAAGACTGCATTTTCCAAACTCGAATAATCGATCAGGTAGATCACTATACTGCTATTTCGTATACGGGACATGTTCATATTGATGTTCGTATATCATATACGGTCCGTCTAGGCCATCGTCCAACACACGGCGTATCAACAATTTGAAAATTTTAAGGAATACTGACAAACTAAGTACTTTAGCCAGTACTTTATTCTATCTCAGCATATGTACTGAGTAAAATATGCATTATTAACAAATGTATTTTTTAAAAGAATGGATGCTTAACAAAGAATACTCTTTTCGATAACCCCTTCATCATCAGGATCTACAGTTATATATACATTATAATGAATGAATGAATTAGTGTTATGAACAACATTAATGTTGCTGTTTAAATAACATTGTATCAATAATAATAATAATAGCAATAGATTACAGTTCAAAAGCATCGACACAAAAATAAACTGAATGTCAGAAATATTAGGAAAGATAACAATAATACAAATCCATGAATTTATAGTCTCCACTGAAGGTTGACCAGGGCAGTAGTAGTGGCTGACTGGACTTGCTTCTTTTGAACACAGAGCAACGGTTGTTTGAGGCGACTTGCAATAGCCTCTGTTGTTTGTAGCATGCGGTGCTTCAATTTTTTTGGAAATTTATTTGACACCCGGTAGATGATGAAATCGCCAATGATTCTCTTGATTGCAGTAAATTGGATAATGCGGCAGACAACGGGCAGCGAGAAAACAGGCATAAAATGAACTCACACAAAAAACTTGGAGGATCTGGACTTCGCCGATTATTATATATGTCTGATTTCACACAAACTGGAAGATATGCAGATGAAAAGCAAGTTCGCAGAAGAAGCATCAGCGATAGCACTTGACGTCAGGTGAACATGGAGAAAACAGAGGTGACGAAAATTCTTGGTCAACATCAACAGCGACAGCAACAACAACAGACACCGATCAGCCAGCATAAATGTGAGAAATCTGAAAGAAGCAACCTCCTCCAACTACCTACTTACCTACCTACATGGTAGGCGTCGTCTCGACTAGATGGGGACAGAACTGACGAGGATATCAAAGCAAGCATCGAGAAAGCAAGACAGGCTTTCATTACTCTCAAGTCTGTTTGAAGACCAATACTCAACACTTAGCATGAAAACGAAAATGAGATCCGGATTTTCAACTCCAATATGAAGTCAGTGTTACTCACTGTACGGATTAGAGACTTGGCCAGCGCCATGTCACGAAGGGTACTTCAAACAATTAACAGATCTTCATCAACAGCTGTCTTCCCTCAGTACTTCGCTCAAGATTAGATGTCAAGAAAGGATCAGCAACAAACACTTCTGGGAACGAACCAACCAGAAGTCGATTGTGCAACAAATCTGCAGGAAGAAATGGAGGTGGATTGGCTGGACATACTATGAGGAAATCAATAAGTGACATCACTCGACATGCCATGGAGTGGAACCTGAAAGGAAAGCTGCAAGTTGGTCGTCACTGCGAGGGTGACTTCGAGGAAGAGGTCATGTGAAGAGGAGATGAAAGCATGTAGGTAGACTTGAGCCAGGTGGAAACGTTGACAGCGGACCGAACGCAATGACGACGCGCGCTGAAGCGCTATGTTCCTCTAGGAATTAAAGGAAATAATAATAAATAATCGCAAAGAGTATTCTTTGTTAAGCATCCATTCTTTTGAACATATTAATAGGCAGTTTTAATAAGTTAAAAATTTAGTTTGATTAAGATTGCTTAACTGAAATATTAGCCATATTACACTGTATTCTTTGCCTTATTCTAAAGGTCGGCGATATTATTATGTTGGAAGATATTGTCGACGAGTCATGGTATAAAGGTCGATCAATAAAAACTGGTGCTGTTGGCATATTTCCTATGAATCATGTAGAAGTACGCATCCCACTGACAACTGGTTTATTTACAGACAAACAACCGAAGACTAAGCCTGTGCATCCTGTTAAGTCGAGGCATATTTTAACAGGCAACCGGACAAATTCTCATCCATCCTTTAGGAAAAAACCCATACCACTGCCTAAAACAGCAAATCAGTCTGCACCTGTAAGTACTAATTATTATTATTATTTATTGGTAATCTGATGCATAAAGTTTTGATATATATCCCCCCCTATACTATGCATGTTGATTATAACCCCAGTTGCCTTCACTGTGAGTCTAAAAATGAAGACATACAAAAATACAGTTGTTTTTTGGAGGTACTTTTTCAACTGTCTTTGAAATGTAATTCCTCGTCTACCGTAAAATAAACCAATTTGTTAGCTACTTTGAACGATCAGAAAAAACTACTAGCGATAAACTAGAACGACACTATTTACTAGTGTCCAATCAAAGTATCCAATACAGTCCTACAGAAGGTCAATCACCAGCCAACCTGAATAGCTCGGTAGTAACGTCTTTGACTGTAGCACTGGCTGATGACCCTGGTTCGAATCTCTAAAAAGGATATAAGTTCCTACAAGGTTGCAAGTACGCCTTGCTGACCAGTGAGTGGCAAGTAGCACGAACCTTTGGTGCAGCCAAGTCTTCCTATGGCCGACTGCCTCCAACCACCTAATATCAAGGCAGTAAACTGGCATTCAATGAGCAACCTCCACACAAAGAGGCATATTTTATTTTCGTATGTATCTTCGAATTGTTAAATCCCATATACATAATGGCATTTATATTGTGCGCATAAAATACCCACTAGACAGATAGAAAGTACATGTGTATAACTGTGTAATACACACCTAAATCAAACAAGTTTCATTAAATGCAATAAATAACGTCTTTGAATTCTCTTAATTTAGAACAACACATTTAAGCGAACAATATTGTCCTTTCAGTTAGATCTCATTAGGCTTAACACTAATAGACGTAAGTTTACAAATAAAATTCAAATATAAACCAATCATGGTGTTTTGTCTATAGGATAAAAATAAGATGGTGAATATCAATTGTGCAATTAGTCATAATAGCAGTAATAATAATAATGGTCTTATCAGTAATAAGGTTGAAAAAGCGAGGCAATCTGTGATAACGCGAATAATGAAAAACAGCATGATTAAACAAACAAACGTTGAGGTGGAAGTAGTCGATAAAGTCTACTAAAATCAAATGAACCGATTATGTAATGCTAGACTGATTGTAAGGGAAGTAAATGAGACACGTTTTTAAGGAAGATGTGATAAGATTAAGGGATGAAAGGGGTTGAAAATATAAGCAAGGGGTGGTGTAGAAGTCATTAATTGGTTTATGTCTTAATAGGCCAATAAGAGAGGGATAATGGCTGTATGAACTTCTTTTGAAAGCATAGTTTACGTTTAGTAGTTCTAATGCCTATCGCCTCAGCTGTGTGCAGTAGGCGAATACGAAGTCTGTTAGAAAGATTCGGTAGGATACGATGAATTACTTTGAAGGCTCTCGTTTTCTCGACTACATTACTACTATCAATTAAGTGTGACAGAATAGAGCCACAGATTGCTTTTGTCTGTCCTTTGCCAACCCACCACGATGGGAGATGTTCACTAACACGTTGGCTTAGCTGTCTAGTAGTAGTATGGCCAACATAACTGTCACCATAGGTGCAGTTGAATTGTTAAATACACATAGATGTGGCAAAACTATCTAGCTTATTCTGCATTTGCGTCCCAACCATTCGTTGGCTAGAGAATAACAAACATAAGTGTGCTGCGTAAAATATTCTACGTATGCTCCTTGAAAGTCTCTGAATAGAATCTCACTAGATAAGTCACCATTAAATTGTAATTTAATAAATAGAAGCTTTTTGCGTGCAGTCAGAGTCTCAGGTTTTCTCTCTGATGTTTTCATATGCTTCCTTATAAAACTAATCAGATAGCCAATCTCCATCAAGGAATTGTGAATATATTCGAATTCCTTCTGTAAGAGGTCATCCACACATATCTTTCTTGCTCTGCTCTTATGACCTTTAACAAAATTTCTTTTATATTTAATGGGCACGTAACTAAGGAATTGTGTGTATTGCCCCGTGAATGTGCTTTTTCATCCTTATTATTATTATTACTATTGTTATTATTATGATTACTACTATTATGCCTAATTGCACAATTTATATTCACCATCTTATTCTTATCCTATAGACAAAACACCATGATTGGTTTATATTTGAATTTTATTTGTAAACTTATATATATTAGAGATAAGCCTGATGAGATCTAATTGAAAGCACAATATTTTTTGCTTAAATGTGTTACTCTAAATTTTTGCTATGGAAATATTTAATATATTAAATTCTCCTAATGCCTATTTTATTCAACCTTTTGAATGTATTAGCACTTCTTTTGTATTTCAATATTTTCAAACTTAATTTTTCGCATAGCACAATATCACCACCACCACCTCGTATAAACTGTGCAATCAAAACCTCTCACCTTGTCATCTACCTAAACGACCATCAAGAGTACGAGTTACCAGTTTATATGGTAAAGACTGGCAAAGTGTAAGTGTACCTATCCCATCTAAAACGATAGTCCAGTAGAAAAGGATATGAGTTAACCACATTCTATATATATACGTGTGCTGATTTACGTTAAAAACAATTAAAATTCACTCCTCATTAAAATGTATATATATACACACACACACACCATTAATTCACCAGTATAAATGAATTTCACAATGAAATCTAATATTATTTATTTTGAAATTTATTTAAAATTATCTCAACCAACTGAGTGCCATTCATTTTTTTGTTGAGTAAGTCTTTTTATATTCATTTCATTGTTATTTAAGTCATCTAATTAAATTGAATATATTCCCATAATTTATTCGGAACAAAATAGTTAGAGCGAACAGTTATAGTTTGAATAAATTCTTTCCCCAACAGGCTCTACAATTATAAATTCATGCATAAATTTAAGCATACAATAGCCAACTAGCCAGTAAAGTCAAATTGGAATCATAGCAGAAATGTGTAATGTGAAACAAGTATAAGTAAGATGGGATGAAACAATAGTCAGTTTGAGTAGCTTGAAAATCCCCATTTAGTCATATGAAACAGAGAAGACGTTCAGCGAAGAGACTCATTTTTCGACGGCGAATTCATTCACATAGCTGTGCAATAGCATTTATGTATAATTATTTGTGTGTGTTTGTGTGCGTGTAATGAGGTTTGTCAAGTTTAGATCATTGATCAGGTAATACAAGAATGATCTAATATAGAAACAAGGTTAACTGGACAGCAACTAAAGTAAGATTAAGTTAGAAAGTTAGATGACGTAATATAATTGACTAAAATGTTTCAACTTAGGTCAGGGTAGCAACAGAGGTAATTACAGGTAGAGACTAAGTAGAAGTGGGGTAGATAATAATGCCATTTAAATTAGAACTGAAATTGAGCAAATAAGTTGGATGGCTTAACATAAATGACTAGACATTGAGCGCTGATCAGGTCAGTAACAGTGGTAGTGAGGTGCAGACGTTAAATTGGCTGAGGATAGAGAACAAGAAGGTTGAGACTGTAAAATATTACAATTGAGAAGACAAATAATACTAATAAAGAGACAGAAAAAAAGATTAGGTAGAATTTACTTGTCAGGTAATAAGATAGATTACGTCCATCGCAAGTGTAGTGATTGAACGAACTTCTTCTGTATGCAGAGTTCAGGGCTTAGCAAGTGAATCGCCATTGCTTCTGCAGTTTGAAGAAGTCTGATTCGTACACCTTTAGGAAGACTACTTCTTACTCTGTAGACTACTTTGAAGTTTGTTTGAGGTGCAGCTTGGTATCCGGATTCTATCAGATGTTCTAAGATGGAGCTGCGGGGACATCGTTTTTCTCCTTTGTAAAACCATGTTGGTAAGTGTCCGGTGATACACTTGGATAGCGAATGCTGGGTACGTCCGACATACGTGGCTCCACACGAGCAGGTCAATGGATAAATACACATTGATGAGGCCAGCAGTGGTGGCTTAACCTTCACGTTCACACGAATCATAGGTATTGTGGAGAAAATTAGTCGTAGTTCAGCTGCGAAGAAGGTCTTCTTGAGTGAGCGCGACAGTCGATTTTTTAGTGTTTCCGCAGATATATCTCCACTGAATTGAAGGTTCATGTAGAGTGGTTTCTTCGGGACGCTAAGCATGGGCGGCTTTTGTGGTCTAGGATTCATAGATTTTGCAACAAATTCTTCTGGGTGACAATCCTCAACGAAGATTCTCTTGAGATTGTCCAGTTCATCTTCTATGAAGTCCGGGGTGCAAATTCTGCGAACTCTGTAGCTGAGTGAACGGATCAGGTTTTGTTTGGTGTATAGGGGTACCCAACTGTGGAAGTTAATAAGCTGTCCGCTCCATGTTGACTTTCTGTAGATAGATCTTTTCAGTGTTCCATCCTGTTCTCGTCTTGTTAGTTGGACGTCAAGACCACATGTACATGTTCATGTACACAAACACACACAAATAATTATATATAAATGCGATTGTACAGCTATGTGAATAGTCAGTTTGTTTTTTAATATGCGTGGTCATTGAGAACATGGGACAAAATGAGATGAAGTAATTTAATTTAATGATGTATATATATATATATATATATAGTCAACAGAAAATACAGGTTTCGAGAATGAGTGTACCCAGGGTGTGTGAGGCAATCTGAAAATAAACCAACGAATGGGGCGGTCTAGACTTAAGTTCAAGGTTGAAAATAGCAACAATAAGAATGATTGTAAAATAATAACGATGATGTGGTGTAAAAATTTCAAGTACTATTGGTGAATGATTGTCAAATAATAATAATAATGAATATAATGAAGTGGAATGAACAGGATTTTGTAAATACGATAGCAAGTTAGAAAAGCACTATTTAAACCTAAGGTAATAAAATCATAAGAAAGGTGATGAAATCATAAAAGTCGAAAATGAACGTTTGTCAATGAAACAGAGGAATAGAAGAAGGAAAAGAAAAGCAAACTGTGAAAGGAATTTATAGTGTTAATGGAGGATTTGTTGGCTTTATTGTAGGCCAAGGTAAACAACATTGAGGTTGAACATACTTCTTCTGTATGCAAAGAGTCGGTCTT